GACAAATTTAATATGGAACACCCTGTATATGTGTATATATAGGTATGTATATATAATATATATATACTGTATATATTTTTATATATATATACAGTGCGACCCATTTGTTTGCTCACCCTGTAAAATCTTTATTTATTGTGCGATTTTAACAGGATTTGTTATAAAGGGTATATCTTGATAAACTGTATTTTTGGAGCAAAAGATGCCATATTAGTACAAAATACAAGGCCTACTAAGTCAGTTTTTAAGAGTAGTTTTTGGGATGTTACTCTTTTCTCCTCCGAAATAATTATTGGTAATGATAGGATTGCAATGAAAAATGAGTATATTGTGAAGCGTAATTTCAAAACATGATACGCGAAGTTTCATAATGATCATGTCGGTAGGAAAAAAGTTCTATTGGATTAAATCGGTGAATTCACCAAATTTGACGCTTGCACTGGAGATTCGTGGTAACGTCGCTGCCCTGCTTAAAATACCCCATAGAGACCCTGTTCAAACCGATAGATATTTGTATCGGGATGTATGGTGTTTCTATAGGGTGTATCGGTTTGTATAGGACCCATAGTTGAGATTTATGGTTGTTCTATAGGGATATCCACTCTTGATTTATTTGCTATCGGTTTCAATGGGGAAAATACACATAAATGTAGAAATTAGTTTTTCCCCTATAGGACCCCATAGGTTTTAATAAAATTTTGTCAAATGTTTTATGGTTGCTCTATAGGGATATCCCTATATATCCTTCATTGAGTTATTTGCTATCGGTCTCAATAGGGAAAATGTAAAAGTTATGGTGTGCCTATAGGTAATTTCCTATACATTTTCTATCGGGCTGTATCCGGAAAAAACCATGGACAAATGCACATATTGAATCCGGTAGCGCCCGATAGATTATTTTGTATAGGTCTCTATGGGGTATTTTAAGCAGGGTGACGTCAGATAGGAACGCTCTCGCCCGGTGCTACATAGGTGTGAGTGAGAACGTATGTAGCAAGCGGAAGGGTGAAAGAGACAGCGAATACGAAGTTGCGAAGCATTGCGACTGCTATTGGTGAAATTTTTAAAAGCTATTTTTATTTATTCACATACACTATAACAACGCCTCATGAACTGAAAATGCAATTACGTTGCAAAATAATAAAAAAATCTCCTAAAAATGGAATTTATACCCATATGAATTTTGGTTGCAAGGATTTTAAATCTAATGCTGTAGGATAGGACACAGTTCTACCACGATAAAGACACTAAAACTCATGCCCGGACAACCTTAAAACCGTAACTTATATAAATAAAATGTCACCGCATGCGGTGCAGTGCACTGTGACACGGGCCACATCGAACTAGATGAAATTAACATATACTTACCACAGTGTGTGGTAAGTATATGGAAATTAAAGATTATCCTGCCATCTTGAGGTCACTAGCAAAGATTTGCAAACTGAACGATGCAATTTTTTTTACATGCGTTGGTGTGCTTATCTCAATTTTTACTAAAAGTGTGCTAACAACCCTTGGAACACTACGAAATATATTTAAAGGCCTCGGCCCGGGTCTACAATTGTCGCAGGGGTCCGATCGCAGAACATAAGCTTGCGCAAAGCACCCTGCGACTTGGCGATGGAGCAAGGTTCTTTTGTCAGCTGGGTGCTTTGCGCAAGCTTATGTTCTGCGATCTGCGACCTGCGAAAATTGTAGACCCGGCTTTAAACCTACATATTTTTATTTTTAGGTTATAATCATGCAGGCCAGACTCGAAGCCCAACGAAGAGCTGAAGCCCAGAAACGCAAAGTCGAAGAGGATAATTTAGATTTAAAACCCTATCTATATACTAATTCAACGATTGATAAAGAATCCAGAACGAATCATTTTCCGGAACAACTGGAAGAAATCAGTCAGATTCCTGTCAAACTTAAAATTGTTGATAAAAAACGAAAACATTTGTAAATCTTTGTCAATCAATTAAAGTTAAAAAAATTTATTTTACATTCCATAATTTTTTTAAATTAAAGATTTGTTGTTTTCTTGTGCATATTCTTTTAATACGGGATTGTCCCATATCACAAAAATTATGCATACAATATATAATATGTATAATATTTTATAACAAGTAGTATGATTATCATCGATGATATTTTTGAATTGAAACCGAGCAGCTCGGTCCGAGCTGCAGATTTCACGAGTCCGCAGGACGAGTGAAATGTGCTGCTTCGGTTTCAATGAGTAAATATCATCGATAATTAATCATACCACGAGTTATATTTAGTGAGAATATATAGTGAATTTTAGGATTTAACGAATTGTCAGTTTGACATTTGAAATTAAAATGTGCTTTAAAATATAAAAAGACTTTAATAAACCTTATTTATTCAAACTTACCTTAATTTTATTATCGTTTACACCAACCCATCGATCTTTTAGAGTTTATAATTCATTATTTTGATAAAATGCGTAACTAGGGAATACTGGCATTTTATTGGTTCTAATTATAATGAATTGTATTTTCACATAAATAGTTTGACCATTTAAAATTTGTCCAATTTCTCAAAATCCTCGTCAAAATAGAAAAATTCATCTGACCATTATTCTTGAACCAGCCGAAAAAAATAACTGTGAAATGTATAATTTCTTCATTTTGAAAACCCGATAATTTTTGACCAACTTAAGAACTTTACATTAAAAGCTACTATATTTATATCTAATTTGTTTTCAATGTGACGCTCCTAAGTTGGTCAAAAATGATCGGATTTTTTAAATTAAAAAACTTATACATAGGTTTTGACACATTTAATTCATTAATCTATTTCCACGGTAATGTTTTCAAATTACATTTTTCTATATTTAAAAAAAATTAAAAATATAAAAAACCAGAGTCAATACCCAAATAACATTTTGAAGTCATGGTGAGAGCACAAAAAGATCACACGTGCGATTTTTTGCTCACGCGTGATGTCACAGGTCATATCAGTATGCTTCAGTCATTGCTGTTCAATATGCTCGCACGCGTGAGGCTATTAAATCATGTTAAGCTCACTGAAATCACTTGTGCAATTGACTAGTATAAAAACTACGAGGATTTTAATTTAATTCGCATGTTTAATTTCACTATGACTTTATACTATCATTTGAATTATTGTGTAAAATTTTTTTGCCATATACACAACGTTATAATATACGAAGTAATATTATTACTTCGTAATTTTATAACCGTGATTTTATTCTGAGCGCCTGAAGTTAGTTCACTCTTGTAGATATTTTTACTAAAATGTATCCCTTATATTATCCGATATAAAAGCATATTTTAAAAGTGAAAGTAAAAAAATGTTTTATTGGCACTCCACGCGAAATTAAGTTAAATCTAGTTTACTGGCGGCGAAATTAAAAGGTCGGTACAATGTTCATATAAACATTTTAAATATTGGCTTTAAGAAACTATTTAATACTTTTGAATTTTGAGATAATAAAATATTTTTTACATTTCATCCCGTGACTAAAAGGCCATAAAGCCACAACTTGTCAATGTGTAATTAAAAGGTCACACTAATTAATGTCATAGAAACATGTACCACAATGATTTTAAAGGTGGCAGTAGAAAAAGTACTATTTTAGTTTAATGGAAGACAATGCATGCTATTATTCACGAGGATGAGGTTTGCGTCTCGAGTCGCCGGACGAGAGACTTAAATCATCCGAGTACTCCAATAGGTAGATAATTAAATGATTTTGAAAAATAATTAAATAAAATCTGACATCTGTCAAATGGTTAACCTAACTTTTTACCAATTTTAAATGTTATTATAGTCGCCTTCTCCCAATTTAAAATCCGATTGGTTCAAATCACAGTGAATATTGAAATTGGCCAATCACTGATCCCTAACAATGTGAATAATGAGTTTATTATTCACGTTGTTAGGCAGGGAATTTATAATGCAATAGGAGTAGATAATAGATTATGTATCAAGTTTGATAAACGCCAAAAGTTTATAAACGAGTTGCATTCTATACTTTTTCTACGACAAATACTTATTATTATCTAAAAATGATTTAAATGTAATATTTGTACCTATAGAGCTCCATCTATAAAACAATAGGGAAATCTGTGTTACCGTCAAATGTCAAATATTTATGTGTTATAAACCGAAATGTATCTCATAGATTATAAAAGATGTAGGTATTCCCTGAAAATTGATAAACAACAGTTTTTTACAGTGAAAGTTAAGAAAATGTTTTATGATCACTTCACGGTGGAGTCCGAGCTCGAATTAAAGTTATATTTAGTTTACTGCCGGCGAAATTAAAAGGTCAGTACAATGTCCATATAAACTTTTCAAATATTGGCGTTGAGAAACTATTTAGTGCTTTTATATTTAAATAATAAAATAATTTTCACATTTAGTATTATTTTACAAGGACACTTAAATTTAACGAATTTATGACATTTGACAACTTCAGCCTGTGACTTCAGCCTGTGACTAAAACACCATAAAGCCACAACTTGTCAATGTAACGTTTTAAAGGTGGGAGTAGAAAAAATATATTACAATATTAATTAAAGGTTATATTGCTTTGTTCGGGTATTAACAACGAATCTTAATGCTAAATCTAATTATTCATGCCTACACGTTTGTTTTTGACAAACTTTTTGTCTGTTATACTTTATTGTTATACTACACATGCGTAGAATAAACATTTAAAACGTTTTTGTATTTTTTCGGTTAGTTTTTTTATTTTCCACTTTCGAGTCAAGGAATAGTTGCCAAACAGCACACGTATGCTTACAAAAGGGCTCATTCCTAAAATATCAAAGTCGTCCCCATGTTACTAAATTTTTTAGTAACCTTTCCCAAAACAGTTTTTCCTGTGTAATTTTACACTGTATCAAAGAGATCAATATCGGTTGTCCAGTGCACACATCTCATTTTGGCAAACATGTTTTTTCCAAACGTGTACGGTCTCATAGTTACCTACTTACTGGTTAAGTAAAAAAAACAAGTATGTTTTAAAATAAACATTTAATAATAACATTACAAATAAATCTATTTTAACAATCCGGGTTTAATATAAGTTATAAAAATGGATTTTGGTAATAAATAAAGAAACAATAAATATTTCGTATTTTTTATACTGTATACAACCCAGTCATGCACTCTTTCATCCAACAATTCATACAAGCAGTCTTACCAAATCTATAAATACCTACGATTCTAAGTGATTTTAACCACGTAACCTTTTATTAACTTTTTTGACCAGTCGGGTTTTACATATTATGACTTACCGTTTTTTGAACCAGAACGTTAAAAATTTCACTGGATTATTTTGAGTTCAAAAAATGACTTCAATTTTGTCAAAAGTCACACGTGCATTATGTAAAAAATAAATACTATTTTACAAATAAATAAATTATTCAAGTAGTATGTCCTTTAAAAATACTAAAGAAATGTATCCAAAAAAGGAGTTTAAACTTAATTAGGTATATCGTTTTTCAATTCTTTGGTATTCTTAAAGGAAAGAAGCCAAGGAATACTTTTGATTGTGTGATAATTTTGAATTAGACTTCGTTACATTCTAAGTAGGCATCATGGCAATTTCCACCGGATCTACCCTTCCTTCCAGCTTCGTAGAGAACATCAAAAGTAGCTGATCCTGTAGAACGGTCCAGGACAAAACTGGCAGCATATCTATAAAACAAATAAAAAAATAATAAAACTAAAACATTAAACTTAATTTTATTAAATTTAACTTACGTTCCCAAATGACAGAATAAAGAGTTCTGTCCAATTTCATGAGAACATTCGTTGTTTGCTTGGCACATGTATTTCTGCATGCATTTGCTATCTTCTGTGGACATAGACCTCACGTAACCTTTCATCATGGAAATACCAGCTACAGCAGCATCACTAATCGAATCTTTCTTGCCGATATTACGGGCCGCCATTGAACGATGAGAAAATGAAGTTTTAAGGGCATCCAAAAGATTCACCACAATGTTAATAAACTAAAAAAAATATCATATTCATATTGGCTCAAAGTGTGAGAGTGGCCCTGGAAATGGAAGTTATACAGTCCCATTTCCATGGCAACTAAATCAGCGAAGACTAAAGAAATATACATAAGCTGTTGTTTTAAAGTAAAGTTATTGTGTAAAACCCGTATTATTTTTGTTTTTTTTATATATTTACATACCTCGCCAGCCTGTTTGGCCATAGTGTTGACTTGTTCTGGATTCCTGTCCCCCACAACAGCAGAAAAAACGGCAGCCAATACACCCTGTGCAAGTATTAGAGCTACTACTAGTGCCAAATTAAAGGAATATTGCAAAAAATTATACCAAAACGAGTTTACAGTTTAAATAATTAAGATTTAAGATTTTAGAAAATAGTTTTAAGTGTATTAATGTTTATCTATTACGCTATTAAATATACATTTAAGTCCCATATTTGACATTAATTCATGTTTTTTACGAAATTGAAAAGAATCATGGCATTGCATTTTTGATAAAAAGCATACGAATTTTTAGGCTGAAGTGTCTTTTTAACTTGTATGGCAGAAGTAATTCTTACGGTTTTGGTATTATTTTTTCTAAAATATTTACATTTGTTAAATTAGCTTTGAAACTAAAATCTATAGATTATTTCTCTTTATCTTTAATTTTAAAATTCTAACCTGCATTGGTCCACCGGCCACACCATTGTCAACTTTATCGATACCATCTCCAGCGGTGTTGGCGCCTCCACCCAAAATGGCTGTAAGGATTTTAAGACCGACGGAGAGGAGGTTGGCCCATGGTGATGGGGCAATAGCACCATCGTCTAAACCTTCGGACTTGTTGGGGCCTTGAGCCTGACCTGGATTGAAGATCATTTGCATAACCATGCCTGCAAAGGGACCTGCTACTCAATATAAATGATCTTAGATTAGAGGATATTTGAAAAGGCCCAACGCCATTGGGTTTTGAAGCAATTATGTTTTAATTGGCTAATTTAGAAAGTTAGTTGGATTTATTATAGAGTTTGGCTTTAGTTTAAGAAATTAGATATGCAGTGTGTGATTGATATAAATGTAGGCTGTAAAATCGTAATTCTTGTATTTGAAATTGAAGTTAACAATTGTTTTGCCTATTCTCAGGGCCGGATTAAGCAACTTGGAGGATTTTGATATTTAAAATTATCATGCCTTGAGCCGCGCATAATCACCAATATAGTCTATTTTATTTATTAAATCGATTTGAATAGATAATAACACAAGATTTGATGTTCTTTCTTGTGATAAGAATCTTGTCCCATTGTTGATCGCAGGCAATTTTTTATGAATTCTAGCTTTGAAAATGTTCGTCCTGCCTCATAGTTCGCAATTGGCATTAAAAGAAGCATACTATGCTAATATAATAAGCGATAGCTTCGCTTTGAAATGTACAACCTCGTAACCGAAACTTTCTGCATAAAAGTCATTGGAGTACATTTCACATTTGTGGAGGCATCTACGATGTAGAAGCCCAGGGCTTTAGTCCCCTCAGCCCCCTAATTTTATAACATATATATTTGTAGAAAATGCATAAAATATTTCATTAAAAATTAAGTATTGAGATGAAAAATAAATTAAATGGAATAAGAAAAATGGGTCAAACAGTCCCCTTATTTGTAACTTAGTAAATATGTAATGTGAATAATATAAAAATTATGCAAACCACCCTCACCATTTGTTGCGGGCTAGACTAATAATTAATAGTACTAAGGACCATACTATTTTCCGAAAAAATTTATTAGTTGTATTGAATATATGAGGATCCTAGAAGCCAAGGGGTACAAGTACATTTTGTTTAGTTTTGAGATAATAATGTTTAAAGTAAAAAAAACACTAATTTGTAGTCAAAATTGTTTGTTGTTTTATGACTTTGTTTTTCAAGATGTCTAAGCTTAGAATTCAGTTATATCCCTTGGATACCAAGTAAAATGTACCATTTAATATCTTTTTCTGTACATAACTACATTTTTTTTGTAATGTCACTTGTATCTCTTGGCTTCTAGGTTTCTTATATGCATTTCACAAATATGGAATTAATTCTCTTTACCTAAAAAAAAATTCTTAAAATGACAAGTCAAATACTTAGGAACAACTCTAGAGAGCAAACTTAACTGGGGTAATCATCTAAGTTCGGATGGCCTCAGTGGCCTTCTAGCAGAGTAGAAGGACTATCGGAAGGACGTAGGAATTATCCCCAAAGATAGTTTTTTGATTATATACGGCAGTCATTCAACCTATGTTTTGCTACGAATCTATCGTTTGGTAGCCCAAAATCAAACTACTGCAGCAAAACAAATATAGCATGTACAACTGCTTGCATGTCTAGCTTTTACAGGTGGCATGCGCACAACTCCAACAGCACCATGCAAGCAATCCTGATTATTCCCTCTTTGGACTGTTTGTAGAGGAGGATGCACTAAATTGTCGAAAGAAAATAACTCTAGCAACTCTGGCTCTATCGTTGGGTACCTATACCACCATATTTCAGTGTTAAATCACAGGCAAACTAAAGGCGGCTTATAAAACAATAGAGCTCCATGTAAATGGGAAAACAATAAGAATCTTCTCAGATAGCAGGGCCTCGGGGCTGGCAGCAAAATGCATTGCTGCCTTGAAGCTGATAACTAGGACATTATTTATGAAGGAAATAAAAAAGGCTGATGAACTTGCAAGACAGGGATCGACAAAGACACTGGATCTTGCCTAACAAAATCAACCTTAAAAGTCCAGATAAAAAAACTTACCCATGAAAAACAACTAAGAAGATGGGTTAATTTAAGTTAAAAAAATTCCAACCTTGTCGAAATTATAACGGGACACTTTATAGTCTACAATGTAGACTGAACAAACATTTATACAAGTTAAGACAAGTAGACAGTCCTATTTGCAGAGCCTGTAAGTTACAGGCTGTAACAGGGAGGAAGAAAATGTTATACACATTATTTGTAAATATCCTGTTCTTTAATTCAGAGTATTCACCATAGGTCGGGTTGACGCAACCATTATTAGATCACAATCTCTTTCGTCGTCTTTCTGGATTCCTGTTAAAAACTTGGATGGCTGAAATAAGTTTTGAGCAAGCAAAGTAGGGAAAATGAATCTCGGGGGCAGTACAAAGGGCCTAGTGGTCTAACTGTGCAAATCAATCCAATACAATAATTTTACCTTGATCAATTTTAAGCAGGTAGTTTTTATTTCACCTAATATAAAATTAACAAATTTAAAGTATACAAAAAATACAAAAACAAATCCTGACGAGAAGTTTTTGATTTATTAAAAAACTTGGTGTTGATAACCCAAAATATTACCTATTCAAAAATGGTTCTTATGAAATTCAAACAAAAAAAATCAAAATTTGCAATCGTCATAACTTTTTAAATTTTCCTCAGACAAATGTTTTTTATCCTTTTATATAAATTATTATTATTCTCCACATCATAATAAAAAAATTGAGTTTTAAAAACCTAAATATTTTTTACAACATTGCAATACACCTTGTGTAAGTTATTTAAATGGTTCCAGTTAAAATTCAAAATAATGTCACGAATACCAAAATGGCCTTATGTTAATGACATTTGTCAAATGGTGTTTAAGTAAAATTGCTTTTATTATTTATCAAATTTAATAAAAACAAATAGTTTTGCTTTAAAATTTCAAAATATTTGTAAATTTTATTTTTTTAACATCCGGTTAAGTAAGATATATCCGTATCTGTTTACAGTCGCCTCAATTTAAATAAATCTATATTATACTTTTAACAAATTTTTTATCAATTAATATCTAGTATTAAAATTAAGATATATTTATAAAAAGTTAATAAAAACTACTACTTCTACTAATAAAAATATTAACGAATTTTTCATCAATTAATATCTAGTATTAAAATTAAGATTTATTTATAAAAAGTCAATAAAAACTACTACTTTTACAGTAGAAGTTCTACTGGTTGAACTAGTTTTTTTTTTTCTGATTTGATTGTTTCTATACTTTTAATTTTGTTTTGTACAATCTTGTGCTTTGTAATTTTTATACATTCTGTGTTTGACCTGTCCTATAAATACTGTTGTATTTCGTTTGGATCAATAAAGATTATTATTATTATTATTATTATTACTAATAAAAATATTAATATAGTTGTGGCGGCGAATGTTTCAAATTGCGTCATCAAATTCTGAACCAAGCACAGACTTTACAATAATTGTTGTTTTCTTTTACCTACGTAAATAATCCAAGGAACCGCTAGGTTAACCGTATGTCGAGAAATCGGTTTTTGACATTCGACATTGATGACGCAATTTAAAACATTCGCCGCGACGACTATACCACAATATTTTGTCGTTGCTATATATTTTTTATAGTAATTTTACGATAAAATTTATTGGTTTTTAAGAAAAACATATTAATTGTAAAGCCTTAAAATGAATTAGTCAAAAATCAAGTCATATTTGACTAATTGTCATAGCGAAAAAGCAGTCACTAATAATTAGTCAAATTCTACTGAATGAAATAGTCAAATTAATAGATTTAAATTTAAAAATGTTTTGATCCAGCCGGGCTTGAACGCAGATCTGTCGCTTGCCAACCTTGTCAAGCTGTTGTCATAACGAATGTGGCTATCAGTCACTCTTATAAAAATCAATTTTATTTGTCAATAAATATTGTTTATAATATTTTAAAGTTGAATATATTATTTGTGTTGCTGTTTTGAGCTAAACATTTGCATCTTTGTTTGTTTTTATGGGCCATTTAACCATGGAGCCTATATGCATTTAATTCAAATATTACTTTGTTGCAAACGATTAAAGAAATTAGTTACTTTTAACTCTCAGAAATAGTCAACGATGGTGAGTTATCTTAAATTATTTAAACTTTAACTATTTACTTAGTAAAAAATAACTATTTAATAGAGAAAACGACTATTTTATTAGTAAAAAATGCTGGTACTAATTGAAATAGTAGAATTTTGACTATTTCATTTTAAGAGAGTATTTAAACGTATTTGGAGACCTATGATTTGTTGTACGTATAGGTATAAATAGTTTTTCAGTTAAAATTATTCTTATTTTATGAAAAATTACAAACCCAATAGATTGGACCAGGAAAATCCACCACCTGTGGATTCTGAAATCTGATTTGTGGAAACGTCATCCAAATCATCTAAGGCCACTTTCTTGATGGAGTTTGGTTTTTCGGCAAATTTCCTTTCTATTCTGGCAGATGGTAATTGTGGACTACTGATTGGTACAAAGCCATCTTCTTTGTGTTCACTAATTGGTTTGTATTGGGGTTGGTTGTTGGGAAATGCAAGAGTACTCAATATGGAACTGCTAACCAAAAGGGAGAAAAAAGCCCAACCTATCGTTTGTCTATACATTCTAAAAAAAAGCGAAAAATAAATTATTTTTTTTACTATCGAAGCCAATCAATTAAAAATAGTAAAAGTTTAATAAATTACGTGGCCCATATATCGGGACTTTCTCTTTCAAAATTTGATGATTTTTTTAAAGAATTAAATGTAATTTTATTATAATTTTTGTTCTATTTGCTATTTAGGTGAGGACCATTAATAAAATAAATTTTTGTAGCGTAAAATATAAACTAGATTAAAATATTTAGAAGCAATATTATAAACGTGTAGCTTTTTTAGTTAGTTTAAACGTATAATTCATGTCATGAAAACATTTTCCGTTAAAAATAAATACTCTTTTAATGCTATTAAATTAATGGGTACAATTTATGAATTGTGCATGAAAACCTAAACAATGTTATTGAATACAACATACATAATTTTTAACATAATTAGTAGCCTGGAAAATCAACAAGTGGGTCTCAGAACATAACGGCAAATTTATAAATGTAGGACAAGGCTTTTAATCTTAAATTACATCGAGTTACAGGTTCAATATCAAGTTCAAGATTTTAAGATACAATAGCTAAAATATCCTAAAAGATGTTGTATATACAAGAAAGTGTTAGTTTCTTGTTCTGTTCTTCGTTAACGGTACCTATTTTTTATTGTCATAGTCATTTAGAACACTACTATTTTCTAGGTCAGAAAATTAAAATAAACACAAGTGCGGAATTAAAAAAGCATGAACAAATAATATCATGTTTTTGAGACAAATTTTAACACTAAACGTTTTAAGTGCATTTGGGTCAAAGACCTACATAACAATTTAGATAATACCTGCTATTAATGGTCAACGAAATTACCTTTAAAACATAACAATTTTCATATATTTATTTTAAATGTATCAATGCTCACAAACAATAAATAATTAGAAAACACACGAGACAATACAATTGACGTTGCAAAAATATTAATTGTATTGTTAAAAAATCAGTGAATCGAAAACAAGTATTTTATATAATTTTTTAAGTTCGTGTACCTTCTTTATAATGTTTTAATTTAAACATACTGTAAAATAATTATAAATAACTGCAAATTTAAAGATGGCGCATCCACTACTGTAAAGCTGAACAGGATGTGAATGATCGTGAATGAACAATTTAAATCCAGATATGGAATTATCATTTTTAATGCAACACACTTGGTTCCTGGTCGGTTGACCAGTTATTTTTAGTATGTAAAAGACCCAACAAACAAGTGGGTCAATTCAACATCACTGGGTCATTGGTCAATGATGGACTTGATATAACTTAAAGTGCATTAACCCGTACTATTTTTTCAAAAAGATTTTATACTGTAAAACTACTAAAACAGGTAGGTCTTACTTTAAATCATCTGTTATTTCCAAGAAGTATCAAGAGGTATTACAATTTATTGTAAGTATTTTTATGATCTCTGGAATTTTCAATAATAAATATCAATATAAAAGTTACTAGTTGTCAGTAAGTTTAATAGGAAATTAGAGGTTTAATTAAAAGTACTTTCTTTGCACTAAATATAAATAATTGTACCTACATACATTTTTATAATGACAAATTACCTTTAATAATTATTAGTTATTAATATATTAGCTTAAAGAGATTTAAGTAGGTATATATAGGTAGATTAAATAATCAAAAATTATAAATAATTATAACAAAAAACAATGAATTTAGTAAAAAAATTTAAAAGTTTTATATTTTCCACATTTAAATTTGTACTTTATTATCATATATGATAATCCAAACATTTAAACTATTTTAAAAAATCAAAATATTTTTAATAAAATTATTAATTGTTTTATTTTTATATTATACTGGGTGATCTTTTCTAAATGTACTTACTTAATAATTTAAATATATTTCACTAAAAAAAATCACAGTCGTCACTCTTGGAATCTTCAACTTAGACAGACTTAACTTAACCAGGTAGTGTACTCAACTTGCGCACTTAAGAATCGACGGCAAATGTCTCTTGAGATACCTTGAACTTGAGTATATATACGATGACCCACTTACCTGTCCACAACCAACTTGCAATCGGTTCCAGCGGTTCTCAATAAAAAAAATGTTTAGGCCTTTTTACACTCGCTGATGCTGATTGTTTTATTCGGGTGCAAAAGAATTTTTTTATTTTTTTTGTATGCTTTATTAAAATATAGAAACAAAAAGGGGTTGTACTGTTTTTTATACCATTAAAATTAATTTTACAGGTGTTCCCAAATCATGTAGTAATCAGACACAGCTCAACTCGGGCCCCATAACTAATTTATTTTTGGGCCCTATACACCCATTTCAAAAATGGCACTCCTTTAAAAATACAAGTTGTATTATACAACCTCCCAGTTTTGTGTGTACATTCTTCAGAGATTTGAGATTTTGGCAAAAATTGTTTTATTGCCTGACGTCCACCCGCACATTTTAGTCTTTATGAACCTAACATTTTTTTAGTCACTTTTGCAAGATCTACATAATTGGCCTGGCATAGAAAATCCTGGGAGAAACAACGAATTCTATTGGCAATATTTGAAACCTTAGATAGCCAACATAATTTTTTTTTAATGTGTGATATGGCCCAGATCATTGGGGTTGCGAATGGTAAAAATGCAGTTAAATTAAGAAATGGTCAGGATCGAATCCGGGCCCCCCAACATGACGGGCCCCTAAACTCACTACCCAGTGGTCCCCCTATGTGGGGGCCCTAGTAGTAATACAAAGGGAGAAAATTTTAAAATAGATTTTAAGAATAAAATTTTAAGAATACAATTTTAAACATGAAACATCAAGATATAAAAAATATGAAATGTTGACAATTAATAACATTTTCATATACTTTACAATTAAGGTAGTTGTCGTGGTACAATATTGTCAAAAATTTTTAGATTATACGCACCGTAAAAGTATACGAGCTTGTAGCTAAGTGATTCATAATTTTTTCGCACGACTGTACCCTTGGAGACGTTACCTTTACGTAATACTTTCAAATATTTTCATAAGTTTTAATCCGGCAACGTCGCTTATGCTCAACCAATAGATATATTGGAGACTGAATCAGTCTGTTTGAATTTACTGCGGAAATAATATCTATACTCGCGTACAGCGTTGCCAAGTTGTTTTTATCTGACACTAGTGATGTATACTTTTTTACAAATTGTTGAACTTTAAACGGTTATTTATAAAAAATTGGACGGTCAAAAATTTTTAATTATTTTTTTTTAAACTCAGCAAAAATAAATTAAAAGACTGTTAGTTTTTTTAAAGCTTCTGACAGTTAGTTTTTTTTTATAACTAAGAAACTGGTACAAAACTACAGAAAGCCTATACAATCCATGTTAATTATCCAATTTTTAATTGAATTTATCTCGGGTTATAGGCGGTCAATTGACTTAAAATTCATTTCATAATTTTTTCTAGTTTATCTTTAAAACATTGTAAAAAAGCAGTAGTAAAACAGTTGTAATTGAAAATTTTTTCTTGACAATAAGACATTTTCATTTTCAAAATTTAGTTATAAAACACAAGCAACTTTATGATTATTTAAGTAAAAAAACAAAAGCAGTTTTATCAGCATACTGTATACTATATTTTAAACATTTTGTATATGAAAAAAATCTGATGTAACTCTCTGTTTACTTTTGTATTGGCAGATCATTTAGGAACACCCTGTATAATTCTATAAAGATAATTAATATGATTTAATTTAATCCTACATCTTAGGCAGATATTTTTATTGGGTCAGGTTTATCTTTTTCACGGAGTTTTCCCAGAAAAAATATTTTTACAAACACAATTATGGAAATTATTTATTTAATTTAATTAATTAATTAATTTTATATTGAAATTAAAATGACGCCTTTTCATTTAATAACCATGTCAAGAAGTTTGCGCACAAATAGGATGCGGATGCATCTTGGATTTAGTATGACGTCACTAACCTTATCGTTTTCTACTCAATAAACCCTTTTATTTGATATATTATATCAAGAAAGGTTGTGAAGAAAAAAGTGATCTGCCATCTTGAAGCTCCACCAAAGGTGTGTTCAAAATTTAAATCGGTTTGGTAAAGAAACCAAAGAAACAATAATCCTTTAATGAAAAAATATTGGGGGTATTTTAAAAAAATAAGTTAATGCAAATTAAAATAAATTTTGCAAATTAAAATTAATTAAAATAAACGTAAACGTAATTTTAAATAATTAATTGATGCCTACATATTTATTATTTTCAGCTACAAGTCCAGAATACAAATACAAATTTGTGTACACATTAAATAAATTAAAAGTAATTACATAATTGTCTGGTTTGGTATCTTAATTCTCAAAATTAAAAAAAATAACAGTTACTCTATGAAATTTGGACTCATTAAAAGATATCTTTCGAAAGATTATCAAAGTAATTTGTTCTTAATTTAACAGCTAAATTTAGCGCTAATTTATTGTTTAAATAAAGAAATAATACAGTTTGTAATAAATATTTAGCTAACAGTATTTTAACCTAATCTTGATAGAATCTCATACATAAATATTAAGAAAAAGGAAAAATATTTCACCAAATAAAATCAAATTATTTCTACGAAGTTTTGCACCAGTTTTTTATACCGGAAGTTGACAATATTTAATTGTATTAAAATCATTTATAACATAAAACTTTCATTCGATTATTCACTTAACAAATTTAAAACAATGCAAGGAAAATTGTTTTAAAAGTAACAATAAAAATGTTTTAAACAAATTATTTATGCCATGTTTTTACGTAACAAACTTTATGCATCATGCACGCCAGAAGGCTTTAATGTGAAAAATATAATATCAAAATATAAACGTTAACAATAAAAGGAAAGTAAATAATTGTGTTATGTGACTTTTTAAATAGGACATAGCAATAAAGATTGCTTTTAATTTAGGTGTATTTCTGTCTGTTTAGTACCTACACATTTTGCAATCAATTTAAAAGTTTACGATAAGCTAAACTTTAATCTTAGCTCACAACTTGACGACAATGCTCGATAAGGTGAGTGACGTTATACTAAATCCGCAGAAAAATGTGACTAAATACAATACGCTAAGTATCTATCGGGTTTTCGCAAAGCGCGCGCCATCTGGTGGTGCTCGATAGCATTGTGTAAATTCAAGAATTGTCAACAATACATATAAAGCATACGAACTGCACATCAGTTTTAAATAAATATTAAACAAAAGAGAGAAAGGAAAATTTTGTTCAATTGCACAGCTAAATCGCACACGTTATTTGTGTTTTGCGTTGCAAGTAAAAACTAAAAAACCGTAGTTTAGTACTCGATTTCGATTTATTATTCCTTATATCATTGAAACTCTACGTTTATATGCTTATATAGTTATAATATATTACATTGTCAATACACAGTAAAAAATGTATATGTATATTTAACATATTTCTTGTGTCCCTTTCTGTATACTAATTTTTTTTAGTTTTTATTTTTATTTTTATTACTTGTGTAAATTTTTAACACAACCGAATGTGTAAAAGAAAATTTATATGTTATTTTTTTTACATAAGTTAATTTAACAAATCGTGTTGTGTCAATTTAATTTTTTTTAAAAGGTTATTTTAACCTAAACTAATAATTAATATGATTTAAAATCTGTATAACTTTAACATAATTAAATAATTAAATTTATTTATATTTTATTTATTTTACACAAAAAAAGTGTTACCTACTTTAACTTTCTATTGATTTTACACAAACCTATGTCTTCATTAATTATTTTAATTTGTTATTTTAACAATATTTTTTAATTAATTTTTACAATATTAATTGTTTATTTTTATTAATTTTAATAAAATATTTAAATTAATATAAGAATATTGGTTTTTGGGCAAAAAATAAAACATGTAAGTATGTAATAATAATGATTATTATACTACAACATAATTTTAAAAAAGGCCAGCAATAAAGCATTGGAATTCACTAAAATTGCAAAGTCCGGTCCCCTTTTTGTATTCCAAAATAAAATACAAATCCATGCCATAGGGTAAACGGTCTTCAAACATTTCTGGGGATACAAACGTTATGTAAGTAAAAAAACATTATCATAGCAAACTTACCTTTAAATTTTGTTAAACACACGCTATATAAAAGCTTACTTAACGTTACAATTATGAACCTCTAATCGAATTAACTATCAAATTGAAATCGAAAATTAGCAAATTAGAAGAATAACATTTATATTTAAGTGGAATTGAATAAAAAAATACTCAATTGTTTTAATTTGATTAAACATTTTCTGTACTCAAATATTTTTGAGTTAGATTAACACTTGTTTAGGAGTTATTTAAACTAATGTATTATATTGAAATTAACATAATTTTCTGTAAAAAAAATTATTATTTAACATTCTTATTTGTGTAGGACCTTTTATCACATTAATGTTCGTTAAATCTTTTGAAATTTTAAGATTTTAATTATTATAATTTTTGTATCAAGTAACATATATCATTTATGTTATAAACACTAGGAAGTTTATGTAAATTTTTACTTTTTTATTTAACACGCATTATTTTTAACCCAAATTTTATAAATTTTTAACTGTGTACACTTTACGTTAGTGTGTGTATTTTATCTAATTGATTATGTCGAATTATTGTGTTTTTAATAATTATAGTAAATAAAATTCAAAAACTAAACCGTTGCATTTTCATTACTAAAATGTGTATTTATTGTATCTATTAAGTACAATTTTTATTTACACGGACTCTATGCAATTTTTTTCTTCATTCGAATTTCCACTGTTTATTGGGAATTCGGTAAAAACTCAACCCAGGATTATCTCTCGAAAAAACACCCATCAACACAACAAATCGTGCCACGGTTATTTCTTCGAAATATTTAACATTTTTCGTTTGTGTGTGCTTATTAAAAGCTGAATTATGTTGACGATAACGGCCACGTGGTGGCGCTACTAGCGATGCTTCTTTAGCGTATAT